GACGACCAGGAAAACAGCCAGTATGCCAGATTACTGGTCCAGCCCTGATCCTACCTCATTCTGCAAAGATGTTAATGATCAGCTGTAAATGGTTTCCACAACAGTTACCTCTGATTTAGACAGATTAGGCAAGGCGAGTTTATTTGTATAGCACAATTCAACAACAAGGTGATTCAAAGTGCTTTACAGAGACATTAGAAACAAAAACAAATAAAAAGCATGTCACTGGTCACTTAGTCACTGGTTTGTCTGGTTCCAGGATTCCTCCTTATGACCCAATTTTGTTGTCACTATATCATAATATATTTAAAGATATACAAATAAATACATTCAAAATATATCCATCTTGTACATAGTTGTTACTTTTCATCCAATCTGGTGATCTCTGTTTGCCACTGCCTTCCCTGCTCTGTTCCAGTTGTCAGCCAATCAGCTTTTAGCATATGCACAGTTGATCTATGCGCTTTGGCATGGGCGGGTTGAAAACCCCTCTCTGTAAATGTAATTAATTAACCTGCTAAGCATATAGCATATGATATGAATACCACTGGACTTTCAAAATAAAGAAAGTGATTTGTAGAGTGAAAAGCAAAATTTACTCTTTTAAACTCTGCCAAATTAAAAAAAAAAAAAAAAGACTAATTTGTTTGTTTTTTAAAGTACAAGTTTACTGGTCAGAGCTAAAGTCCAACACAAAACCTTTTGCTTTGTCTTAATTTTAAAAGCTGATTATCTGAGCACCGAAGATTTGTTTCTAAACCTCAAACCTCAAGGTTAAAGAGTTTTAGAGGGAAGAAAAACTATTAGAACCACAACGCAGAGTGAATTTCCTTTTATTAAGTGGTTTTCTTTTTTTAAACACTCATTTTAAGAGGAAATGCAGCTTCTGTTGCAACGTGTGAACATCTTTCTGTGCATGCCTGTGCAGTTTAACCTCTCCACTAGTGCAGACCTGTGCAGTCTTGCAGCGCTGCTCTTCTGGGCACAAATCCTTGTTTCTGCGAGCTGTGAGTACATTTATTATTTCTTTCCCGCTAATATCAGATCTGATGCTGAATGGTGCAGTAATGAAAGAGATGACTATGATAACATTTTAAGTTGTTTGTCTGCATATTTAGATTTATGGTATGTAATGAGTACATTTATATTTTATTTCTTTAAGTTTTCTTTAAGTTGTTGCAAATTCATTATTTTAATAAAATGCAATCATTTGAAACAAAGTGATGTTTGAATGTTTGAAGGTAAAAATAAAAGACAACTTTTTTTAAACACCTAATTTATTTGTTTTAAAGTACATAAATAAATTGACTCACTCACTTTCTGTATTCTGAGTTAGAGAACTTTTCTTCCTGCACAAACCTCAGATATGAACCACAAAAGCAGTGACTTTTACTCTCCTTTAATAAAACATCATAATAGTTCTTTTCTTAAATATTGTTCACGGTGAAAGTCGTGAAGGTGAAGTTAATTTCTCTTGTTCTGAGACATCTGATGAAGCTGTCCTAGATTGAAAACAGAGTTATCGCACATTTCTGGCTCTGCTGCTTTTTAAATTTGCAGCTGTTGTTGCATTATTGAGTCGTTCGTCTCTGAGAGGATTTTAGCCGCGGGTGGCGGGCTTTAAGGTTAAAGCTTTAAATTCAGTTACCTTAGCCTGTGTTTGATGACACTGTGGTGCAGAGAGGTGTACATTAGTTCCCGTATCACCTACCCAACAAATCGCTTCTTATCTCCCACGTAGTTGTCTGTGGTTTCTCTCAGTCTTCTTCAGCTCATCACATTTTTAGTTTTACAATTTTTATACCTTATAAGCACAAAAGAGCATCTTTTTAATTTGAATCATTTCATTTTGTCTTGTGAATTCCTGCTTTATGTCCTTTTTCGTTGTTGTGATCTTCTGTTTGTTAAAAGTTTAGTGCTGACCACAGAAACAGGCTTACTGTGACAGTATCGTCATTTGTGGAAAACCTCTGTGTGCAAATGTGGTTAAAATAAATAATGCAATTAATTACAATTTTTTGTGTTCAAAGTAGAAAACAAATATTGAATGGCTGAGTTGAATGAGTATACCAGTGTAATTTTAGGCACTACATGGTTGCAAATAACATTTCTTTGATGGTTAAGGACAGTACAGGGGTCAGTCGCAAGGACCGACTCCATCAACTGCATCAAAGGATGTGAATGCTCTGTAACTGACTCCAACTTGTTCTGTTTCCTTTCAAAAACCCGTTGAAGGGTGACCACATGTTTGCTGTGGAATGTCCAAGTTAGGGGGCTTCACCTCACACAGGGCCTGCCCACCGAAATGGACCAGGACGTCTTTTAATCGCATCATTTCTTGTTCAGTCTCCTCTGACATTTTTTCAATAATAAAAAACAGAAAAGAAAAACCATTACAAACAAATGTGCAGAATCCTCAGACTCAACTGATCTAGTGCAGAATGATGATGGCCTCCCTTCTGTTAACTTTCATTTTTATTAGTTTTAGTTAGTATTGAAAACAATACAGTAAAGAAAATTACAAACAAACACTCTGGAGTTTACATCTCTTTTTCCACCTTCTATCACATGCAAATCTTTTTGTTGTGTTTTTGGTGCCACTTAAAAATGCTTTCCACTTCCTCCATCGTCTATCACACGATCTTGGGAGAACGTTCATCTTTATTATTTGGATTCTAGAGTAGAAATTTGTAGGTACTGTTGACCACCGTTCTAGGTCTTTTTTTATGTTACCCTCCACCTGATTGTAGTTTGTCTCAAACATAGCGGATAATGATTCTGTCAAGGTTACGCCCAAGAATATTTCATGGTGTTCAAGTGCCACTTTAGTTTATATTCATCTCTAATCTTTTGAGAAGGTGTGTATTTGAATGATAGAATTTGTGTTATGGATACATTCATTTTATAGCCTGATAAGTGTTCGAAGGTATGGAGTAGTTGCATCAGAATTGGAAAAGTTGATTTGGATGTTGCTGCACTGCTGTGGCTCGGCATGTGAAGCAAAAAGAATTGGTGACAGGACACAGCCCTGTTTTGTACGTCTATGTAGCTGAATTCTGTCCGTCAGGCTACCATTCACCTTGATTCTGGCTGTAGGTTGATCATTAAAACCAATTTTTTTCAATACTTCAAATCAACTAACACTATCAAATTACTTTTCTTGATCTAAACTTATTAACACAGTACTGATATTAGTCTTTTCGGCATTGTCGATGATGTGAAGTAGGGATGCACCGATACCGATAGTGGTATCGGTGCATCCCTAATGTGAAGGACTCCTTGTATTTCCTGTGCCTGACGTCCCTTAACGAATCCGGTTTGGTCCACTTCTATCAAGTCCGGTACAAAGGTTTCAAGTCTTTTACTAATAATCGAGGTGTACAGTTTGTAATCGTTATTAAGGAAGGAAATAGGTCTATAGTTCTTGCAATACTCTTTATTCTTGCCTTCTTTAGGTAAACTTGTGATGATGGCTTCTCCCCATGATGGTGGGGCTATTCCCTGTTTCAGAGTCCAGTTAAAGCAGAATAAAAGATGTGGCTCGAGTTCTTCTTTAAACACTTTATCAAATTAAGACTGAAAGCCGTCACTTCCTGAAGCTTTGTTTGTTTTCAGCTTGCCAATGTCTGCATCTAATTCCTTATCAGTAATTTGTGAGATCAATAATTTGTTTTGATTGTCCCCTATGGATGGCAGGTCGAGTGGGTCAAGGAAATTTTTAATTGTTTCATGATCTGCAGCAGCCGGTTGTGAGTACAGTCACGTGTAGTATTTTTTAAACTCATTTTCTATCTTATTATGCATATAATGTAGTTTGTTACTGTGCAGGTTTCTAACTTTATTAATAGTCATCGATGCCTGCTTTTTACGCAGTCTTCTTGCAAGCATTTTAGTTGCTTTGGGCCCTGATTCCTAATAAGTTTGCTGTGTAAACCTAGCCTTTTTTCTGCTTCTTTTAATAATTCATCAATTTGATTTCTAATATCTGATATTTCTTCTAGAATAAGTGAATTTTTAGATTGTTTGTGCTCCATCTCAAGACATTTACATTTTTCTGTTAAGTTTTTATATAAAGCCAGTCGTGCCTTTTTTGTGCTGCTGTTAGAGATATTCATTTTCCCCATAAAACTGCTTTTAGTGCATCCCAAAGTATGATTGGGCTCACATCTCCACTATCATTGTCTTCTATATACATTTTAATGTCCTCTTTGATTTTCCTAACATTTTCATCCCTATTTAGAATACC